GCACTGCACTGTGACTCTACTTAGACTTGAAAAGTCTTCACTTTGAAAAAATGCTTGTGGTTACATAACAACAAAGGAAGCCCATAGAGAAGGCACAATGATTAAAAAAAAATTGTCTGTCAATTTTTGCTCATTTTTATTCACTACAATCATCATGCTTGTTGTATTCAAACTATGCAAGCAGTGTGGTTATACTCTTATGTCTTTGCTTAATGTCATTGCTCTTATGTCATTGGTTAAAAACAAAAGGTTGAATTCCTGAAATGCCTAAGAAAAAATTGTCCAATCAGTGTTTTTTTTTTTTCTTTGTGGTATCTAGATACTCTCAAGCAAGCTCTCTCATTGGTTAGGACTTCAGGAGCTGGACTGAAGGCCTAAAGTGTCAGATTAACCACTAAGCTAATTAGTATGTGACAGTAGAATTAACTAAATTTGAATTAAAACAAATTCTGATTTCTAGTGCGTGGGACCAATTTCATGGGAAAAAGGTCACCCTAGCTTTTCTGAAAGTCCTAGGTACATCACTAACTGTGAATATGAGTGGTAGCCTGACCAGTGCGCTTCAGTCAGATGTTAGGAATGAAAAACAGAGGCAGCTCTATGCCAGGATTATTTATAGAAGGAGTCACTGTAAAACCACTACATACAAGTTAAAATATATGTTAATATATTTGTTATATGCTTCAAATAAAACATGAAATGTCTTAAGCTTAAATGTCTGTGTTTAATCTGAAGTGGGCAAAGAAATGTTCCTGCGCATTTCTGTTATCTTAGAAATAACTTGCTGCTAGCATCCCATTGGGCGCTTACAAATATTAGCATAATTGTAGAGACATTTTTTTGTTGTTGTTTTTGACCAAGTTTTGACATTTACAGCCCGAACTGAATAGAGTCATTCACTTTAACCTACATTTCTATCAAAGTGCCACACAGTATGCTTGATCTGCTCCCAGAATACTATGATAGTCTGTCACTGTTTGCAAGGAGTCAGTATAAAATATAACCAGCCATATTTTAACCAATTTTAAATTGGTTCATTAAGGTTTATTTGTATTTTGTTGCTTGTGATACAGACCCACCCAGTATGTCTTAAAATTACATGGTGTTTGTAGAAATTCATGCCGAGAATATATGTGTGGGACAGATCTGGATTTTATACAATGAGAGGCTTGTGAACGTTCTTTGGTCTAAATAGAAAAATTAACTCTGGTCCCAGCCCAGGTGACAGCATTCCCATTGTGCAGCATGTGAGCATATGAAATACAACAATATTGCTTTTGCCTGTTAGGTTAGTATGTGAGGATGTATTTTAAAATGCATTTTTTTTTTTAGTTTGACTTGATGGCCATAGCCAGGCCCTCATCGGTGCTGCATATTCCAGGCCCAGACCACAGAGAGTTTTAGCCTTTTCTACTCCATCTTTGTATTTAGAGGGTCTTTTTGTTGGTTTTATGGGTCAATTAGCTGCATTGGGAAATCCTTCTCTGCATTTGGCCTGAGTGCTTTTAGCCTGGCAGGAAAAACAGAGCAGTTGGAACTTCATTGAAATTCTCCTCTCATTAGCTTTGTGTTCATTTGACACCATTTGGCTGCTCTTGATAACTTCCGCTTAGTGATACAACTCAGAGGGAAATGAAGTCAAGTCTGAAAAGAAGAAGCAAGAAGCAATCAAAGTACCTGGCAGATGTTTTAGCCTAGGAGCCTAAAAGTACACATGCAGTGTAGCATCTAAGCCAGTATTATATTTACACTTAGATGCCATATATAGTTTGCCATATGTGTATGTTTGCGTGCCACTGTGAATATCTGCCAGCAGTTTCAATGGGTTGAATATAGGTAATATGTTTCATGGCCCAAGAAAGAACTTATTTCAGTATGACTTTACTGTTATTGAAGGCCTTTCCTATTTCATTGCTTCCACTTTCCACATAAGGCTATCATAGGTAGACTATTATAGGTAATCCACAGATGAGTGATATTGAGTGCATCAGACAGCTGAATCAAACTGCTGGGTAGTTTCAGTCTGCAGTATGCATTGCCAGTCAACTGTGTGTGTTTTGCTGAAAATCTGGCTAATGCTGTTTTGTTGGGTGCTATCGGAAGCTGTTAGTTTTGGGGGGTCTGACAGATGCCCGATGTTTGTGTGTACATTAAGTGAGTGTGCACTGAAGTGTTTATGTGTGTGTGTGGGTGGGCGGGCAGCTTCAGGCGGTGATGGATGAGAGGGGGAACCCGTCTCCCCTTTGCCCAGTGTCCCTCGCTGCATTGCTGTGTTCACAACGCCGGCCGGCCCTGGAGACAGACCTCCGCACACCGGATCTCCACCGGAGCTATCGTGAAACGAGACAGGATGCAAGAGAAATGAGCAGCTCACACAGATACACACTCACCACTTAGGACCACATGGCTACACAAAGTTTGCATGTAGCTTGGCCAATACTCAGACAGGAACCAGCTGACTGGCTTTATTTGGCTGCTTTGTAATGCTGTTCTGTGTGAAAATGATGTTGCCATTTGCTAGTGACATCGTAAAACACAGCTACACTGAAAGTGATGCATTGAATTTACTTAATTCAAATTCAAATGAATTTGCCTTTGTAATAAGGGGGTTTTGCGCTGCAATCATACTCTCATATCCCTCTGTATGTCGTTGTGGATGGACTGTTCTTGCTGATCATGTCCTGATCATGTCCTGCATTGACATTCTGTTACCTACGGAACAGTTGCTCTTCTGTTTATCACTACATATTGCACAAATGTACAAGCATTGTGGCCATATGTGCTTTAGACCACAATTTCCAAATCTGTTTTATTATTTTCTATAGATTTAAGATCCCATATTTACCCAAAATTAAGGTCAGCTGGGCCTTCTCGGCATTTTATACATGCTACAGAGCATGGTAAGATTTTAACTGCTTACCTGTGTCATGCGGTACATCTGTCTGAAAGCATCCGCACTTGTTATGTTTCTCACCTCATTTATTCAGGTTTTTCCCTTAATTTGTCACCATACTGTGTTTACACATGCTCACAGTGCAGAATGTATAAATCACAAACGTGGCAAAGTAAAATGCATTATATCAGCCAAAGTATTGATGCTATCTATCCTGTTCATGTGTAAATGGTGTACACATTTTACTCATGTAAATTCAGTTCATCCCTGTTTTTAGCACAGGGCCTTGCTTCACACCATAAAAAGCAGGAAGGTCAGGAAAACTGGACCACGACTCAGTTCCCTTAATTCAATTTTCCTTAATTCAGTCAGCAGGAGTAACTGAATGGTCTTTTCCAGGAGCTGTGAAGAAAGGCTCTGTACCACAGTCCAGCATATGAAACACATATGATTGTGATTTTCCCCCTGCTCTGCTCTCTGAAATCTAAACCACGTGGCCAAGCTGAGCCACGTTGCTCCCATTACTCCATCATGACGTGACGTGTCTCCTTTGAAACATGTGACTCCACTTCTGTGGTTCCTCCAACAACTCCAGCTCGGAGTGAAAAAAAAGCGAGAGTGAGAGAGATAGACAGATAGAGAGAGGGAGCAGTTCTGAACTGTACTTGACTGTACAGAGAGTCTCTCTGTAATTACAATGATCTCTTGTGAAAGCAGTAAATGTCAGTTTATTTATAGACTCTGTAAGCTCTCTCTGTAGTTATCCAAGGCTTTTTTTGAAACTGCTGTCCATCTATGGTTGGTGAGCATATTGAAGATATGGGTTAACTTGTGTTGAAGACAGAATACTGAGCATTCAAATACTGTGATGCATTACAGCAGGGGTGCACCACACCAGTCGTAGAGGGATGTCCTGCATAGCTTGGTAGTTCCACTACTCAAACACACACACTAAACTTGGCAACTGACAGATTAGTTGAATTAGGTGAGTATTAAGTAATGAGGTAATTTGGGCATTGGATTCACCAAACTGTGCTGGACACTGGCCCTCCAGGGCTGGAGTTGTGAACTCCTGAATTATAGCATTTGAATGCTTAATCCTGAGAACCAGCATGGCTCTGTCAAAGGGTCTGTGTGTGTTCATGTTTCATACATTTTCAGGACAAATAGCATGCTTTATACCAGAGGTGCCCAATTCTGGTCCTGGAGAGCTACCTCCCTGGAGAGTTTAGATCTAACACACCTGGCTTTAACATTCAGATGCATTTAACATTCAGGATTGAGCATCCATGCTTTATAAGAAAACCAGAGTAAAACAGTGCTATCTAAACTGTCTGGAGCAGCAAAATGATCCTGCACCCAAAGAAATAAACCAAGGAAGCTTAGGGATAGGAATGGATTTAGAAAATGGGTACTAATAGGAATAATGATAATATGTGACTAATGTTTGATAGTTAGCCCACCACCTGAGACAGCAAGCTGTGGCAAGTGATTAACTCTGATGAAGAAAAAAAATCTCACGACAAAGTGGTACTATGGCAACAGTGTTAACTTCAAATAGCTTTTACGGAAAATGAGCCATATTGAGGACATTGGCAGGTAGCTATATCTCAAGTCAGGCAGTATTGACTTAAATGTCTTGCTCAGCTTGGAAATCCATGTAATTCCTTTGAGTGCAAAGGTAGGTTACTTTGCAGGGCAAAATAAGAATACAAACCTGAAGGTGCACAATATTCCAACTGAGGGGGCATTGCCCCATGTGTATGGGGCCTACATAGTAAAATAATAATTGTATACATAGGAAACAAAACTTAAAACAACTAAAATGTCTGCACAAATAAAATAAATAATACACAAATTGCACTGGCTTTGTGGGCCATAAAACCGTTTATATCAAGAAATGGCCCTGGTAGTTATGTGCTATACGTATAATACAGATGGAACATATGTATGTATATGTATGACCCCACGTCTCAACATGTTGTAAAAACAAACCTGAGTTTTTGTGTGAGCTGGAAAAGGTCAACATACTAATGTATGAATCCCTCTCTTTTCATTTCTCTCTCTGCTTTCTTTGCCCCCACCCCACTGCTCCACTCTTTCTTAGTGCTGCTGACGTGGGTGAACTGCTCCAGTGTACGTTGGGCCACACGCATCCAAGATTTCTTCACCATCGGCAAATTGCTTGCCCTCGTTCTCATTATAGTAGTGGGCCTGGTACAAATTTGCAAAGGTATGTACTTGTATATCAACAAAGCAGCTGACCTTATCTTCTGATATCTATATCTTAACTCTAGATATAGTACATAACCTTTATGTCTATAGTACAGAAGACCTTACTGAACTCATTCACTCTTGACATACAGAGTAGTTGGTTGACAGGAAGTTTTTAACTTTTTCCTATGATTAATCTTTATTCACCTCATTTGAAACTTTTAGATGTGCTACACTAAAGAATGTTTTTCAGTTTAAATGACAGAGAAGGCAGAGTGGCATATGTTATACTCTTTTCTCCTCCTCTTTAGAGATGTGTGTAAAGTTCCATGCTATTCTGACAATTACATTTTCTTTTTTTACTTTTCCATAAGTTTAGTTATAGCCTTCTCCTGTAATCATAGGCTATATTTTGCCATCAGAGTCATCTGAAAGTGGCATTTAAATGACACAATTAAAAATAATTTGTCTCCCTTCAGTCTCAGTAGGAGCTGGCAGTGTGCAAGTGGGTTGGGGGAGCACCACACACACACACACACACACACACAACTGAGTCACTAAGTCAAACACCAACAGTCTGACCTCAGAACGTTGAGAAGAATTTTCTCTCTTCCCTCTGGGCTTTATTTGTGTGTGAATATGTGCCTGCTTACACACATGCGATCTCTCGAGTTACGAGAATGGACACACAGCTGATCTTGAGAAAAGTGTACTCTAAAGCTAAAGTTTAAATTGTGTTTATTCCCATTCAAAAACAGTTCTCAGTACTTCTCATTCAAGTTTATTTAAATGTAGGCCTATTTAGATACTTTAAGTTTCCTTTTTTGTCATTTTGGACAGTGGTTTACAGAATTTTCTCCCAAATTCACCTTACCAATCACAAGGCTGACATCTCTTGCCCTGCCCACATAAAACAGTTTCAGTGTCAGAGAAACTTTGGCCTGTTTTCACACCTGAAAGGCTGGATCAAGGTCCAAAGCAAGGTTCTTGTTTTTGTTACGTTGTGTAAATTTGATCCAGGTAGTTTTGGTTTCACATTGGAATTTAGTAAGCACACTAAAGAACTTTACGTGACGCTCCTGCGTCCTCTTGTCATTACCTGCGTAAGCTGTGTCTCCCTATACTTGACACTGATTGGTTTGTAGAGGAGCGCGCTTCTGATGTTAAAGTGTGGTGAATTTGGCAGGTAGCCTTTTCTAATCAACACAAGCTGGAGAAATTGTAATACACATCTACGCCACACGTTGCATATTAAAAAGCTGTCCTCATAGGGTGCACATCTGTATCCTCGCTTTGAAAGCTCTCTCCTCGATTCCTCTGAGTGCATCGCTTCATGGAGTTGTTTACGCTGTTCACACAGTCCTACACAGAGAAGATGAGATTTTCTAGCGTTTTACTCCATTTGAATTATGCTGAAGCTTCCAAATTATTATAGTATGTGATCTGCTACAGATGTGGCACATAGAGATTAGATTAAAAATAATGCCGTTTTCATTTGAGAAATTAGTTTTTAGCGGAAACTGCATGTGGTGTACTAAAGATTCCTACTTTTGGCCATTCCAGGCAACATTTGACCATTACTGGCACCTGCTGGCATCATCCAGCATTGCAATGTTGTTCATTTCTGTGAACACCGTAACTGATCGACACAGCCATGACCCACAGAGTACATTTTTGTAGAGCTGGTCCAAACAGCACTATACAACCTTCAAACACACAATTTTTCTGAACGAGTACTCGAATACTCGTTCTTAAAATCACCCTTAACAAACCGTATTTGAAGTTTTTTTTATGTGGTCTGTCTGGCAGCACACTTCCATTTTAATCGATGCTTCAGTTCAATTTCAGGGTTTTGAAACACAACTCTATTTTTTCATTATGTGTGACGGAAGCATAATCTCCATTTAGCTGAACTAACTATAATCCATATATTAACAATAACTGTGCTAGTTAAAGGCCTTGGCTGATGAAATTTAATTTAGGTTAAATAGATTTTTTGTGGCTTAAAAAAAAACAAAGCTTCAGAATACTAAATAGAGAAGCAAAGACCAACATAACAAATACTTGTGTATTCAAATGATTCATGCCAGTCTTACATCTTCATAAAAGGATGATGCTAAAGAGAAAGAGATGTTTATTGCTATCATTTGAATCCATTTTATTCCTGCAGCTGTGCAAAACAATACACTTTTAGCCAGACTGTAGCTATGCATAGGAGACTATTTGACTAATTAAGTTATAATTTAATAATTGTTCAAGGCTTTCTTAGCCTGTATGCCTAAAGTGAAATCTCAGATCACTGAGAATCCTAGTCCTAGTGTAGTCCTGTACTAAATCTACTGTCAGCAGACATGACGGAAAATCGGTTATTTTTTACAATACTAGACTTAATCTGAGTCTATGATGTCCTGCAGTGATAGTTTTGGGTGTTTCTGAGTCTACATTTTGTCCATGTCACTGCACTCAGTTTCCTCAGGTTTTTTCAGCCCCAGTTTTTGGGTATTGTCCAAAATGACAGGGAAAAGAATCAAACAAATGAGAGAGAGACAAAGACGGAGAATAGAAAAGACACTGAATGGGCCTTGCACGTTACATGAAATGATTATCTCAGAGTTCAAGGCTCTAAACAAGTCCTTAAATAACCGCTGGAGTGACTGGAATGCCCCTAACAGGCTGCATTACATAAACCAAAGAGGGCTAGAGCAAGAGTTGATTATTAACACAAGAAAGTTAAGAGTAGTATAGATTTGAGTCCTTAAACATGGAAGGACTTGTAGCTTTCAGGCTCTTACCTCTTTTACTCCTTGCCTTCTTCTGTGGTTCTCAAACCAGTCCTCAGGGACCCCCAGATAGTTCATATTTTTACTCTATTCTTATGTGTTGCAAGTTGGGTTGGAGCAAAAATGTGGAGCATCTATAGGTCCCTGTGGACAAGCTTGAGAACCACTGCCCTAGATTGTTTTTGCCTGCACAGTAATGCACCAATGTTTCTTGGATGTTTCACATTTACACAAGCAATTAATCATTCACGCATTTGCAGGCTAACTATCTCAATGTCAGGTGGCCAAGTTAATGTAAGCTCTGACTGTCCATGAGTAATTGAGGATTCATCAGAACAAAACAGAAAATCTTGAGGCATGGGAATGAGAAAGCTTACGCTATCAGTAGAAGTTAAAGCAGAGACATGGGTGCTAACACTATCATTGAAAGTTAAAGTACAGACATGGCAGCTAACATTATCACTGAAAGTTGGAGACATAGGGGCGGGAAATTCGGCAAAAAAGATATTATAATTAAAACAATAAAATGTAAATGCAAACCTCTTCTTGCCAAACATCTGCGCAAATATCCTGCCAAAATTGAAAATGAAATGAAATACCAACATTTGCAACCCCAGAAAGTGTTGACACTAATGAGTGTAATGACACTTCTCATGAAGGGCTTATGTAGGTGTCATATAGTGTTATGAACACTGCCCTACAGTAAAATGTTACCTAGACGTATATATGAAAACACAAGCTGCACTAAGTTACACAGTGATAAACAAATGAAGTTGAATACTTTTTGTAACTTTATATGGTTTTTGAATGTCTTAGTTGTCTTTCTTGTTCATGTTTTTATCATTTTGAAAAATTGTACCTAGTTGTCCAGTCCTTCTTCCAGCGAGAGCTGATGTGTGTCTTTTTATGTCCTTTTCATCTCCATTAGAAAAGATACTGTAGTAAAACAAAATCATAATGTCAACCAAAAGTTTAAAACAGCTTATAAAATACTATGTTGATGAAATGCTCTGGACGCAGTCCCCTCACTTCTTCCACTCTCTCCCTTTGTAGGGCACTACGATGCTCTGGAGCCACAGACAGCATTTGAGTTTATTCGAGATCCATCGGTGGGGCAGATCGCCCTGGCCTTCCTGCAGGCCTCTTTCGCCTTCAGTGGCTGGAACTTCCTGAATTATGTCACGGAGGAGGTAGTAGAGCCACGCAAGTGAGTTGAACATCATGGACCCGTCCAGCACCAGAACTGCCATCCACTTCACCTCATCCAACAATGGATTTTACCTCTAGACTAGGCTCCATTCTTGAGGCCATAATGAGAAATTGCCTTGTAAGATATCCAGTTCTTGTTACTTGTTTATTTAGTGATAATAAGATACAGCACTTGGGGAAAAGCCAGAGACCATCCTTCATTTATTTGATTTTCAGTCAAAATGGCAGTACAATTTATTCATTTTTCAGGAAATATTTCTGAGGCAATTTGATATGATAAACCATTTGCATAAGAAAGGGAAAAGTAAAAGAAAAACATGAAAAAGTTCAAAAAATGATTTATATATATATATATATATATATAGAGAGAGAGAGAGAGAGAGAGAGAGAGAATATCCTAAAACCTGATAGACCACCAAATTTTTTACCATCAGATAAACAGTACTAAAAAGGAGATAATCAGTCTCTACTCTTGATTCCACTGTGAGAAAAGAATGGAAGATGTAATGAAGGCAAAGGGTGGACACACTAAATACTGGAAAAAATTGATATTTTATTTAGTTGCTGAAGCTTCTGTGTTCTTGGCCTATTTTCCTGACGTTGATAAATGAATAACTTATACTTCATAATGGCTATTTTCACTAGGTATTAAATAAATGAGGTATGGTCTCTGACTTTTGCACAGGACTACATAAAAAGGTGTACTGCTCCTGAAGGACATGAGGATGTATCCTCATAAGACTATAACAACCTTTAGTGATAATTGTTATATTATGAAATTCATTGTTCCATGTGAGAAAGGCAAGAGAGCAGTTAATCTACAGATTTAATCACATACAACTGACTGACTTACATGTATAAATCCACAACTACACATAACTGCAAATATACACACAGTCTTAAAGAAAAAGGCTGCAGCTGTAACTAGTGTGTGTGTGTGCCTGCAGGAATCTGCCACGAGCAATCTACATCTCCATTCCATTGGTCACTTTAGTGTACACCCTCACCAACATCGCATACTTCTCTTCCATGACCCCTGAAGAGCTGCTTGCGTCCAATGCTGTCGCTGTGGTAAGTGACCTCTGACTGGTTGTTTAGAAGGCTAAGCTTGTTTTATCTTTAGAAAGAGAAATAAGAAAACATAAGGCGGATCCTTGGATCAGAGTTCATTAACGTTTGTTGATTTGCAGACATTTGGTGAGAAGTTGTTGGGGATGTTCTCCTGGGTGATGCCCATCTCTGTGGCTCTGTCCACTTTTGGAGGGATTAACGGCTACCTGTTCACTTCCTCCAGGTGAGGACACACGTGGGCATTCACAAAAAGCCTGGTGTAATTGTGCTGTTACATCTGATTAGTAAGTGAGCGTCTCTGCTTCCCAGGTTGTGTTTCTCTGGAGCGAGAGAGGGTCACCTGCCTTACCTGCTGGCCATGATCCATCTGAAAAACTGCACACCAATCCCAGCTCTTCTCGTCTGTGTAAGAGACACATCAAACACCCAGGCTCCACCATGACATGCTTCTAGCATGACACCACAATCAAAACACAGCTGTCCACAAGATATACTCAAAAAATATCACAACAGTACACAACACAAAGCACGAAAGCATCAGATGTGTAAGTGAAACGGATGTAGCTACACATTGCAACACAATTAGGGCTGTTAACTTGATAAATTATTAACACCCATTTGTAACACCGTTAGCATATTTTCTGAGTTGGGAAATCCCCAGCGCACAGTCCTTGTGCTGATGTTGTTTTTTGAATGCTGTAGTGAGTGATACAACAACTGACAGCCCTGCTCTGTGAGTTAGTGTGGTCTTCGTGGCTAAGCTTTTGTTGCTCCTAAATGGTTCCATTTCACAATAATAGCACTTATATTTGACCAGGGCAGATCTAGCAAGGCAGAAATTTCATGAACTGACTTGTAGCAAATGTGGCATCTTATGACAGAGCCATGTTTAGTGCCTTAAAATCTCAGGCTTATTACATACAAGGCTTATTATTCAGTACAGGGACTGTGGTGCAAATGGGTTCTGCTATTCTTAAGCTATAAAGGTATGTAATAAAATGGCCCATGGCCATGCAAGGGGTTAGTCACTGAGCTTCAGTACGACCTATTCTATTGTACATGCATTGTTTGAACACTGACAAATTAATCCACATCAGCATGTTCAGTGTCATGACACACTCCCAGCTCCAGCTCATCAGCAGACTGCATATCGACAGAGATACAGTCATCATCCTCAAATTTCGTTCAAAATATTGTGAGAACATCTAATTGTGAACATAGTACTGAATTAAATTGTGAGCTGATTTATCGCACTGTACTGTATGCATTGTATTCATCCTGGCTACTTTCTCGTGCCCTCTTTCGTTCTCACTATCTCTTCTCCCCCTCTTTCTCAGTGTACTGCGACTATAGTGATCCTCTGTATTGGTGAGACTCACAACCTGATCAACTATGTGTCTTTTATAAACTACCTCTCATATGGAGTCACCATCGCTGGGCTGCTGTACTATCGCTGGAAGAAACCTAAACTTGTCAGACCCATTAAGGTAAACCTGGCCATCGGTGGCAGCAGCCTACACCACTTACCATTTGTTTAAAAAAATATATGCCCAGTTTGGATTTGATGCCAGCAACAAGTTTCTAATGAGTTGGGATGGGGGCATGTTTACCACTGTTTCATCACCTCTTCTTTTAACAACACTCTGCAAGCGTTTGGGAACTGAGGAGACACTGCTGTAGTTTTGAAAGTGAAATTTTTCTTGTTCTTGTTTGATATAGGATTTCAGCTGCTCAACAGTTCAAGGTCTCCTTTGTTTTATTTTCCATCTCATAATGCAGCAAATGTTTTCAAAAGGTGACAGGTCTGGACTGCAGGCAGGCCTGTTTAGCACCCAGACTCTTTTACTATGGAGCCATGCTGTTGTAATATGTGCACAGTTTTAACTTGTATTTGTGGGTGCAGTGACGAACTGTGTTCACAGACAGTGGTGTTCCTGAGCGCATGCAGTGATTTCCACTGCAGAATCATGTATGTTTTTAAAGCAGTGCTGCCAGAGGGTCAGAAGATCAAAGCCAGCCGATATTAGTTTTTGGCCTTGTCCCTTGCATGCAGAGATTTCTCCAGATTCTCTGAATCTTTTAATGATATTATGCACTGTAGGTGATGGACTCTCCAAGTTCTTTGTTACTTTCAGAAACATTATTCTTGAATTGTTGCACTATTTGCCTGCACAGAGTGGTGAAACCCTCCTCATCTTTACTTCTGAAAGAATCAGCCTCTCTGGGATGCTCTTTTTATTGCCAGTCATGTCACTGACCTATTCCCAATTAACCCAAGTCTTTTGTTGCGCCCGTCCCAACTTTTTTGCTGGCATCAAATTCAAAATTTGAATATATTTTTCAAAAAAACAAAAATTTCTGAGTTTCAACATTTGATATGTTGTCTTTGTACTTTTTTCAATTAAATATAGGGTTTAAATGATTTACACATCAGTCCATTCTGTTTTCACTGACATTTGGCACAGCGTCCCAACTTCTTTGGAAACAGATTGTAGAAGTTTTATCTGTTCCAGTATGTTAAACTCAGCAAATAAATAGAAATGCACTAACATTTACAGAAAAGTCTGTATATGTATCTCTGCAGCAGATGTTTTAACTTATTTTCACCTAGAAAATCTGGCTGCCTAATTCAGACTGGGCTGAAATGCTTCTTCAGCATGAATGGGCAGGGCTAAACTGCTATAGACTGAATAGGTGGATATATGCAAATATGCTGGTTTACATGGCATCACAGAAACAATGAAATCAAATTGGGTGGTTTTTGCAGCTTTTTTGTGAAATGGGCCCCTATACAGTCAACTGTTAGAAATGGCTGCTTTAACAGATTTCTGTTTCAGTGTCTGTGCAGAGGGGAATTTTTAAAAGCATACCTCCCAGTAGGGGTTGCGCACCGATACATTCTCTCTCTGTTTCTCTTTCTGTGTAGGTGAATTTGCTGGTCCCCATCAGTTACCTGGTGTTTTGGGCGGTGTTGCTGGGCTTCAGTCTGTACTCTGAGCCTGTGGTGTGTGGAATGGGCCTCGTCATAATGCTCACAGGGGTGCCCATCTACTTCATTGGAGTGCACTGGGCACAGAAGCCACGTTGGATCTATAGCGCAGTGGGTGAGTGAGACTCCTGCGACCCAGCACTTACGAAATGAGTTATGAGTTAAGAAATAATTGAAGTTTGGGAGAAAGACCATGTCTGAAACTTCTGCTCCCTCTTAGCTAACATCCTGTGTATTTTCATCTCTCCTTCCTGTTCTCTGTCACAGTTTACACACCCCACCACCTCCCTATCTCCTCCCTATTCCTCTTGACCTTTAAGCCTACAGTTGTATGCAAATGTTTGGCCGCCCCTGCTCTCTCTCTCTCTCTCTCTCTCTCTCTCTCTATATATATATATATATATATTGTATACACACTCTGAGTACTGAAGATTTCACATCAAACCACTCTAAATGACTGTGCTATATACTGTCAGTGTCATAAGTACAGGAAGATTGCAGAAGTATATACCATAGCTTTAATTGTAGGTGAGGGGGTTTGGAAATAGCTGTCACTCTGTCCTTGGCAGAAAGGTTTAAAGGAATTCTCCAGCATTTTTCATTCTAATCTGTGACATCTGTATTGTACAGTCAGTTACCACAGACAATAATTTTGACCCATTTCTCTGTTCTTACTAAAAGAGCAGAAAATATGTTGAATCAAAACACACTGACAATAGACGTCTATGGGCAGTTGGTCAGTGAAAAAGTTTCTGTTTTATATCAGGTGTCTTTAAAACATGCCTGTCTACTTCTTAAGCACAATGCAACACAGCAAGACTGGTCGAAAATTTTTATTCTGTTTTTGCATACTTTTAGCTGCTTTTAAATGCTTTTACCTAATTTTTGTAACTCTTTTGATGACAAATGTAGTATAACATATATATATCTGTACACTAAAGTTAACATTTTAGTAGTATGAAATTATTTACTCAAACCATGTGAAAGAAACAGATCAATAGACGTCTATGGGCAGTTGGTAAAGCAACTCTAGTGTACTCAAACTCTGCATATATTATAGTAAAATTGCTTATTTCATTGTTAAGTTTTGGTTGGAAAGAAAAGAGTTAAAGCTTTCTGATCAGACTTTTTTTTCTCCATGGTATCTTGCACCACCATTAGCTTAAAATGCTACTCGAAATCCCTTAGGGCAGCCAGCAGAAATTAGCCTAATTGTTTCTGTTTACATTTATAACCTGAACTGATGTCCTTGCACTAATAGTCACAGTTCATCACTGATCCATGTTTGTTACTTATTGTCATTCCTCCTCACTATTCTCACACTGTGAATGCATGTGTGTCTGTGTGTGTTTGTTTCAGAGTGTGTGACGTATCTGGGGCAGAAGGTGTGTTACGTCGTGTTCCCTCAGGACGACCCCTCCGAGACAGAACCTCTAACAGAGAAAACGGAGAAGTCGGAGCTCTGAGCATCAAATCTTCTAGGGAATGTTCTCCTGTGCTTTTAAATTTTTTGGAAAAGTTTTTTAACCTTTCTCTTAAGTGTTTTTGCAGGTGAGGAGGTGGCTTCCTCCCCAGTGCTGTAGGTTCCGTTTTTTTTCCAAGCACTAAAAAGAAACCCTGGCAGAGGAGGTGCATTTTGTTCTTTTCATATTCAGCTCTCTCTGCCTGCGCTGTTGATGTCAGCAAGCGCAAAATGGACGTTTTGGCCTTTCAAAGGAACTGCTTTCCACCAACCTCCTCTCAGTGCTGCCTGAAGGCCATTCCGTTTTTTTAAATACTATGCATGTATTCTCTCGTGTCACGCAGGATCTTTTCTCTCCGGTTCTCCATTAACATTAACAGACCCTTAATCTCCCATTTTCTCTATGTGTGTGAGAGTCCGTTTGTACAAGACAAGAAGTACAGATTTTATTCTTCAACGTTCAGTCCCTACACTCTTAAAAATAAAGGTGCCAAAAAAGGGTTCTTTGAGGAGATGCCATAGATAATGTAAAGATTCTATACCTAGAACCATTTAAGAACCTCTATTTTTAGGAGTGTATACAGTGTGAAGTCGTCAGTGATACCACACAGTGTTTGCATGCATATAATAAGGACTGTCGGTGAAAAAGTTTCCGTTTTATATCAGGTGTCTTTAAAACCTGCCTGTCTACTTCTTAAGCACAATGCAACACAGCAAGACTGGTCGAAAAATGTTTATTCTGTTTTTTGCATACTTTTAGCTGCTTTTAAATGCTTTTACCTAATTTTTATAACTCTTTTGATGACAAATGTAGTATAACATATATATGCATACACTAAAGTTAACATTTTAGTAGTATGAAATTATTTACTCAAACCATGTGAAAGAAACAGATCTATGAGGCCAATGTAATAACTTAAAGGGGAACTCTACCAGCTTTTCCAAAATTCTGCATAATTCAATTGTTGACGTAAACAAAGTCATTCAGTGTGTTTTGATGTGAAATGGTTTATTATAGAGAAACTTACTTCAGTGATTCTGGGGCCCCAAGCAAAAAACAAGAATGGGGTCCCCTGAATGCACATTTTTAAGTCAGCTGAGGCTCTGGGCTGATGAGTGGATCAATTCTAGTCAATATATCTAATATTTAGATATATTGACTAGATTTATTAAGTGAAATTATTTAATCATATTGGCAGATAAGTTTGCCTCTTTTATGAAATAGTGCTTGAAACAAGCAAAATTATAAAATATAAAATATAGTGAGATAATTTGGTGGAGAGTAATGTAGAAGTAATGAGTAGAGAGTTTTACTTTTTCCAAAAAGTAATAAGTAATGTGACCCCAATGCATTTTTTTGCTGCATGTGGATAACTTGCCCTCTCGACCTCCTCTCCATAATGCAGAGTATCACTTAATTGTCTTTTTCATACCAGTCAGTCTTCAGTCTTCTTGTGTCATCCTCTTGTGTGTTCTTTGTTGTGTCATATTGCAACAACATAGAATAATCCATTCCAAGCTGCACTGAAATTACTGAAATAATAGACACAAACACAAATAACACTTATTATACACTCTTATTATTTTCAAAAAGGTTCTATATAGAATCATCTGTAGCACATTCATGCACATTTTCCATCAATCTGAAGAACGCTTTCATGTTGCGAAGAACCCTATAACCCTTTAATCATGGAAAAAGTTCTTTTGAGTGTTCATGGTTCTATATTGAACCATTTTCTTTACTAAAGAACCCTTGAAGAACCATCTTTTTTAAGAGTATATATACCAAAATAACTAAATAAATTATATATATGAGACTACATTTACACCTTAATGATTTAATAATGCAGAAATTTTGAAAAATCTGTGCAATTCCCTTTTAAATAAGCAAATCCATGCCATTTCTTGCACATTATGTAAACTTTACAAAGTGCTTTTTCTCAAAATAAATAAATAAATAAAATAAACAGACTTAACAGAAAAGTAGGGCAGAGTGGGCCACAACCCAACAGAGTTTGGCTTTTATAAAAGTTAAAATATTTGAGCAAGATTATTGTTTTTTATACAAACGACCAGCGCAGTTCAGCTACACTTTATGAAAAATTCAGCAAAAAGAAGAGTGAGTGAAAACTTTACAACTAACCTTGTAGGTGGGTTTAATTGTGACAGACTGAGGGGCTACTTGTAACAGTCACTAAACAGCCAAAAATTCATGTAAACACAGTTAAGTCAATTCAATCCAGGCAAACTTTCCTACCTAGAGATAAAAAAATTTATGCATCAAAACAAAGATTATTACATTTTACCATGTTAGTTTGTGTCCTGCTCTCCCGTACACAGTGTTTTCAGTTTGTAGTGATTGAGTGTGTAAAGAGGCAAAGAAAAATGCACTGGTTAAGCTTACAAGATGTAATTCTGATGACAGACCGTTTATATTTTAGAATTACAATACGGAACAAGATATATTATGTGTAAGTTAGATGTTTAATCTGTCCAGATGTTTAATTTTTTAAACACACATACAGTACTATGCAAAATAGACTATCTTATTTTATTTCTAGTCAAAATGACCTTTAAGAAATCTGCAGCGATCGTTCAGTCTTAGAAGTGGTTGTGTTCATGGATGTTGAGGTCTGGACTCTGGGGTGGTCAGTCCATTGTTCTAAGAACTCCAGCAGCTTCTTTGTTTAAATTTGCAAATTTTATTCTTTTTTTGTCCGTTTACTTTTCTCAGTAACAGCTTCTTGAAGTTTTGGAGGTCTACCAGGTCTTGCACAGTTACTTGGACTTCCATTTTCTTTTTACCTTTTGATAAGTTTTTGAACCCCACTTGTGGGACCTTCTGTTTTTCACTTCTTTCCTTTGACGTTCTCCTTCCTTATGCAAGTGTATTTATCTTTCATCTAATCTCCTCAGAAATATCTCCTGAAATATGAATAACTGTACTTAGTGGCCATTTAATAAATGAAGAGTGGTCTCTGACTTTTGCACAGTACTGTATAATGTAACTTGAACATCAGTCAGATAATGAAGATTAGCATGTAGTAAAGAATTCCATCACAGTAGTATGAGACTGTATGTACAGTGTACTCATAAGCTACATCTTCCTCATAGAACCTGATCGACACAGTGTTGACCGTGTTATAAATATTCTGTCTCTGTACAGTTGAATATCTTCTATATTAATATAGTACATGCAAACAGTTTATGATAATGGTTAACTGTTTGATAAATGTGTTTTCCTCTTTGAAATTCGGGGCATTTCCCACAAAACGGTTCTTGTTTTGGTGTAATCTATTTTTATTATACGTTATGTTTAGAGAGTGGTAAGGGTTGCTGAGCATTCAGAGTTAGTGCTGTTGTTCTGGCCTTTATGGTTTGTGAATGTTTTAAACTCTGTTGTCAGATGTTGAAGCAGTCATGAAAAAGTGTGTTTAATTTTAGTTTAAGGACACCTGATGTGTGAAAACGTAACCCGTACTGCTAGATGGCGCTCAGCTAACTGATTGCAGCAGTGCAGCAAAGTGCACTGGTGCAAAGCACAAATCATCACTTAGCCACTTTTAGTCATTATAATTTATTCAACAAAGCCCAATTAATGACCCTTAATAATGTATCTATGCAAGAAGACTTTTTAATATTTGTTTTTAAATAGTTTATTAATACTTTTTTAAAGGACTACCTAATGTGCCACTGTTGGCCACATTCATTAGAACTGCCAATGAAAGAGACCATTTCAGAGTAATTTCAGTATATCCATGTTCCTGTTGTTGATTTTGAAGAGTAATGGTAACACTTACATAGCAAAACAGATCTTTTATCTCTAACGCATTTGGATAACCACCAACAAATTGTTGCTGTCATTTCAAAACCTGGTGACTTTTTTGAGGTGTTTGTTTGTTTGTTTGTTTCACATCATTTGAAAGTGTCAGCTGTCCTTTACATTTTACATTCATGATAAATGGACCAACAGAATTTTTTTTGGAATGACTTTGAATAAAATCTCTTTACATGAACATACAGTTAACGTAAAGCTGAGAACGTTTGTTGCTTCTTCTAGTTCTCGTTTCTGAGATGCGAGGTTTTGTGTGAGAGTGACAATATGCTTCTTTACAGTGGTTGGTCGGTTATGCTGGAACAGGGGAATGTATATAGGCCACTTCATCATCACTGAAAATGGACATTCCACTGTGACACCTTACAGCAATAACGCCATATACTTGTCTTTACTCTTAGATCACTTTTGCTGGTTTCTGCATGTTTAGACGCCAGTGAGCTAAAGGAATCCATCCATAGTGTCCCCCAGTAGACGTGGGGAATATGACGATATTTATCATTATTGTGACATATTATGTTGCTGTATGCTTTTCTGAGTGTATAGTACATATTATCAACACTGACCAACTGCATGTTTCATTACAAAGAAAGCATGTTTAATTGGATTTAGTGCAGTGCAGTATGTGAATCACTCTATTCAGTTTTATTAAAGGTTTCTCTGTACTTATCAGGAAAAATCAAAAAATCAGAAAAATCAAATAGATGCCATGTGTTGAGGAAATGTTGTTAAGTATCATGATATATACTTGTCATATCGCCCACCCCTATCCTCTGCAAACTAAACTTTAATTACCATTGAATTACTGCTTAGACTAGACAGAGCGCAGGTGAAAACTTGCTCTCCCTCTGCTGTTCGGATGTACACATGACATGACACCACCAACCAACACTATTCTCTCTCTCCCTCTCTCTATCTGAAAGCTGGTACGGCCTCAGCCTGTGCAGGATTCTAACACACACAAGCGCAGGGCTGAAATTAAGACAGCGGCGAAGCAATGTAGATACTGTTCAAAGCTCCAAAAGGTAGCTATCATTCCTGAGGCGAGTTGAGTGTGAGACTTTCAGAATGTGTGCTATGTTTTTTTCTGTTTGTTTATTTTGTTTATTATGAGATATCTATGATGTTTATGCTTAACCATAATAGCACATTAAATTTAACTCTAAAGAAAAAGTATGAGTACTGTTTTGTTGTGTATGCATGTGTATGTGCTTGTGAAATCTAAATGTAAATAGGTAAAAATGGATTTGGGTCCAGGGCACAAGCCATTTCCAAAAGCATGGGCATTTCCATCTAGATACTTCTCATTTATGTAGGCCGAGAACTTGGCCTTCAAAGGCTTTTCAAGTCCATGTTGTCTTTGTATGTTTTCAGGAGTGTTGCCTTTAAGAAAAACCTTACGTGTTGGTTTTAAATTTAAGTTTTTATACAAGCAATATACACATCTCTGCAACAAATGAAAAAAAAACTTTCCATCATCTGCCATTTGTGACCAACTCAGCCAAAAACAGTGGACGTAAAAATGTTACAACTCACCCCAAAAGTGGGAGTAATTGTAACAGAATGAGGGGCTAGCTGTGACTCTGACAGACAGTAAAAAGTCTGGTGAATCAATGCAAATAGAATTAATTCAATACAACTCTGAATCGTATTGTAATTTGAGCCAGACGAGCTTTCCAACCTC